AATTATACCTATTTACTTTTAAAATATGCACATGTATGTTCTGTGTAACAATAATAAAAGATAGTACATTTTCTTTCGGTTTTAAATTTTTCTTGAATGAATGAATGAATGAAAATGTATCTACAATTGTAATACACTATCGATCTACTCCATTTTCTCAGGGGAGAAATGTTAGGTTTTTTTTAGACATAGTCAATGTTAAAAGTATTTTTAAAATTTGTTAAATATTTCTTTAATTTTTATTTTTTTTATTTAAGTTCAATGCACACAATATACAAAATATAGTAAAGTACATTTGGCGGACTTAATACCATGCGGCATTATCTACCAGCCAACCATAGGTGGTGCAGAGAATAATGGTTGGAGGTGCAAATATAATAAATGATAAACAAAATGTAAACAGATACATAAATACAATATATATCTAAGGAATACAATCATAAATTACATAAATATATACAAATATTATATTATACATATATTATAAAAAATAAATATATATTAGATACTCAATAGTCTGACAGTCACAGAACTAAAGAGAGTAGAATAAAAAAAATAATGAAAGAAAGAGAAATGGAAGACAGCAGTAAAAAGTTACAAAATGAATTTTAATTTAAGTTATTTAATTCATCCATTACAGCACGACAATTTTTTTCTTTATAGTAACTGTTTAAAAAGTATATTATTTATAGCGTACTTTTTTTTTATATTTTGTAATGATTTATATATATATATATATATATATATATATATATATATATATATATATATATACAGGTGGTTTATAGATATATCACGAACACGACACTAAAAATTAAAATTTAATTCAATTCAACATACAAATTCATTGGCGAAGCTCCAACACGATTTTCAAAACAAGTGAAAATAAATTTCGCTGTTGTCTAAAAAGTACGTTCAAAAGCTTTCAGCTTATGAACACTGGTCATTGGAATTAGCTGCTTAATGAATGTAACAAGGGATCTATCTAGCTCGACTGAACATCGTGAACGGGCAGAAAGACTGCAAACTATGAACATTTGGCGCTATATATACTATATACGCGTTGGTTTTAACTCTGTTGAATTCAGTAGAAATGTATATAATATATGTGGCCCCGGTGGTTTAGTGGTTTAAACATCTTATTTCCGATGGTCGCGGGTTAGATTCCTCGCACGCTACAAATATTTGTATGTATGGGTATGATTGTATCAGTATGGGAGTTTTCGGTATGGGAGAGTATATTATGTATGACTTTGCAAAAAAAATATCTAAGTATTTATATCATTTGTCTATTACCAATAAAACAAGCTCGTGTAGCTTCGGACTGGATGGTGAATGGTCAAAAACAAAATTACTGAGAATCAAACTCGGAACGTTATTGAAATCAATACTTGTTCCTACTTTGGAATGTATTTATTATAATGAGTGGGTAGAATTATTGATGTTCTTAGAAATGAGATAGTTAGTATGACTTAGTGATATCCTAATTAATAATAAAAAAAACTGAAACAATAGAAGTAAATCAGACGATAAATAAACGGTTTATTAACCAAATGTAAAAGACATTGTTTAAGCGAGATTTCCTGTTGTAAATTAAATCTGCTATTATCAGGGAGTACAATAAAGAGTCCAAATCATGAATATTTTTCCTGTGCTGAAACACAACAGACACTCGGAAATTTCCACGAATGCCACGATAAAAGGGAATTGAATTAAACAAGCACCATACGAAATGAGTGCTCTTTTATCCACAAAGCCCACAGGCATCGTTCAATTTAAATGTCAAAGTTAAAGAATCAACAACTGGGTCAAAGAGGCATCCGAGCTGCTCTGCAGCTGGGCGGATCCTGGTGAAATATTGAGGCAATTTTTCAAAGGAACGGCGTTTAAGCAAAAAGATTAGCGACTTTGAGACTGTTGCAAAATCCGCGAAGTCACGTTAAACTTTGTGCCGGTGTAATTGGGTAAGACGATTTGGGGTAGGCTCGGGAGATTGCGGAAGACGTTTTCATTAGCAATGCCCGTGATCGTGAAAGGGATGTGTTACTGTCTAAATAGATTCCGAGTTTGGAAGTTCAAGCAAAAAGTTTTGCGCTTCAGATCTTAGACAGTACAAGTCTGTTTTGATGGTACGATATTTTTTTTTAATTATTAAGGACACAATTAATTGGTTAAGGCGATTTTGGAGTAGGCTTGGGAGATTGCGGAAGACGTTTTCATTTGCAGCTCCCTTGAATGTGTTACTACCTAAATAGATTTCGAGTTTGCAAGTTCAATCAAAAAAAAATTTTTATAATTATTATTCATATCCTAGAGACTACAAATGTCTGTTTTGATAGAACTATATTCTTTTAAATTCTCAAACAATTAGTTGGTTAAGCCGATATTGGGGTACGCTCGGGAGATTGCGGAAGACGTTTTCATTAGCAGATCCCGTGAACGTGTAAGGGATGTGTTACTGTCTATTAGATTTCAAGTTTGCAAATTCAATCAAAAAGTTTTGCTTTTCAAATCATAGACAGTGCAAAAGTCCATTCTGTATCTGAATGTTTATGTTTCCACAATAGATTTATATTTGTTAGTAATGCTACAAGTTTATTATTCTTAAATAATAAAACATAAATGTCAATATAATTAAGCCGCGGGCAAAAGCTAGTAAAATATAATTATACAAGCTTTTTCCCGTGGCGTCGCTCGCGTTAATTTATCCTCTTAGGAGTGGAATTTATCAAAATCCTTTCTTAGGGGATGCTTACGTCATAGTAGCTTTATGCATGCAATCTCAGCCCGATCGGTTTAAAATTTACAAAGTTTCATACAAACTTTCATCCCCTATTTATCCCCTTGGGGGTAGAATTAGTCAAAATCCTTTCGGATGCGGATGCCTACGTCATAACATCTACCTGCATGTCAAACTTCAGTCCGATCCGTCCAGTGGTTTGGGCTGCGCGTTGATAGATCACTATGTTAGTCACCTTTGAGTTATATCTATATATATAGATATAGAGGTAAATATAGTACCTTCATAAAATTCCCATGCATAGTTATAGAAACTTTGTGCAAAATGAACATACGTTTTAAAAATAATATAAGCTTAGATACTTTAATAAATACATTCTATTTTTCATTTTTATTTTTACGTGCACTCAGGTATATAATCGAAAAATAAATGAACGTTTTAACATGTTCATTCGAACAGAGCTATCCCAAAAACTTCATTAAGCACAACGCCAAAACGTTTTAACTAGTTATCTAAAATCCTCCGCGAACAAATTGAGATAGCTACGTAAAGAGGATATAGGCGAAAATTGAGGTGAAAGCTTTCTATATGCCTATACTTATGTATAAGGCTTTATTTTCCTGACACTCTCAAAGCCATTTTCGTACGTTGATGGAAAATAACGTGAAGGTTAAGCAGGTATGCTGAGGCTGGTAATTGAATGGGTGGCACCTAATGATATACATCAGAGAGACTCCATCGTAACGTGTCAACCATGGAGGCATGTATAGCTTGTTATTCAGAGATGATAAAAGTAATCGATAGTATTATATCCTGTGGTTAATAGAGTTTTGGATGAGTAATCTTTTTTTTTTAGTGAGCGTTTTGGGCCATTGTCAAGCGTTAAGACCTGTAGCACTGTGACCTGCATAGATCTATTGCGCTTGCCCTTTTTTGAGTAATCTTTACATAGTAAAAAATGAATGCGCTTCCACTGTGTGTTCGTACAGATTTTGTAACAACTCAGTTTTAGTAGTAGATAGTGATTCAAGAGGAAGGTTTATATGTATAATACTTGTAGCGTGCGAAGCCGGGGCGGGTAGCTAGTATAACAAAAATGAAACATTTATCGACACTGATTTTAATAAACGACTTTTTAGCAGTCTTGAATGCTTTGATTATTCACTTTTTACAGCTTCCTATAAAAAGCAACTCCTATTAAAATGTTTTATTACATTTTATCTATAAGCATAAAGTTTGATTACTTTTCATAGCGTTATATTCAATGAAAATTTATTATAATGTAAAGTATTATTTGCAATATCATTTAGTACTGATTGTAATTTGTAGATTGCGTTGTATATACTTCATCATTACTAAATGTCCTAAAACTCGCTATAAATTTTTTCGAGCGTGAATTATATAAATACTAGACCATAAGTAACAAAATAATCTTCCGCACATAATATAAAACAAAGTTGCCGTCGCTATCTGTTCGCTTATATATTTTAAATAAATTGCGTAAAGGATTTTAACCAAATTCAGTAATAGATAGAGTGAATCAAGAGGAAGGTTTATGTGTATAATATTATAAATAAATATATATGCATATATGCATGTTTATAGTATACAACAAGCGGAGAATTATATGGAAATCCCACAACTCCCACACTCCTAATTTAAACTATTTAAATGCTTACTGCTTCCTTTCATCACCAAAGTTACTTTCCGAGTTTGATGGCAAAATTGTGTCAATAACAGTACGATTCCAGTTCGCAAGATGTCGGTACTCTGTACAGACGATAAAACAATAGGATTTCCTTCATTGTTCGGGAATTACAACACATGTTTGATTTAGGGACTTTAAGCTTAGTCTGACAATGTCAAATGTTTGTAGACTTGAGAGTATTTGTTCCACATATAGACATCTTTCTGATGAAAGATATATTTAATCAAAAGATGGTTCTGGAAAATTGCATTGGTATTTAATCAGGAAGCCCTCATGGTAAACAGTAATTTACAATAGAACTGATTTTTACATATAAATTACGATGGACAGATTATTTTAGTTTCATTTGTACTACAAATTGCATGGATATACTAGCCTATGGATGCCTGAAACATCAAGGGTGAAGCGGGTGTGTTGCCGACCCTTAGGAATGCTTTATATCTTTCTTGAAAAACCCCATGTTGTAGTCTCTACAGCACGGAGTTTCGCTCTCTTACCCGTGTTAAAAGATTTTTTCATTGGAAAAATACTTAAATTTTGCTATAAACCTACCTCAAGAGTTTGATGTCCCAAAGTGCTAGCACCTCAGGCGGCCGAGAGGCGCAGAGAGCCAGTCTTGGTCCGCATGCATGCAGCCTCACAGGCCCTGGACGGACGTTCGCAGAACTTGGAGATGATATGATGACTGCTGCAAACTCCTTACTGCTACCGAGGTTGTATTGCACCTGTGGACATTTTGTTAATTTATTTTCTAACCTATTAAAAATATATATATAAGAAATTTAACTGATTTTCTTGCCAGTTCTTCTCAATTGAATCTCTATACTGAACTGGATGGAAGGGAAAAAATTATATAAAAATTTCATAAGCGGCTAAAATGTCCCATATGAATACGTAAATGATTTTTGAATTTGAATTAGGTACTGTGTAAATAATATGACAAAGTGTTTAAGAAATATACTCGTATATTAATACCTAATACATCTCATACATTTATTTATTGTATTGTTTTTATTATAAATTGTTTATCTTTATATATTTCCCTTTCATGGGGTGATAGACTTATCTTTGCTGGTACAAATCACTAAACAAAGATAACTATAAGAGAAATTATGTTAATGAAATTTTTTTAAACGTATGACACAAAGCATATACGTTTTAAGCATATGAATTCTGTGCTTGTGTCTGATGAAGGGTTCTTACTTTCTATTTATTGATTTTTATCTAAAATAAAGTCCAATAGTAAATATCCAAACATTTAAAATTAGTTTTTTTTTAAAAATATCTTTATTTTCTTCTGTGTATTGTTATTGTATAAGTATTTGATTGGCTTACACCTGTACAGGTTTAAGTCAATCTTGAACATTTATTCCAAAAATATCCAACAACTTTACTCATTGCAAAAACAACGTTATATTAGTTTATTAAATTATAAACTCCTAAGACGGAAGTTCCATCCAAGTTGGGTAACTCCAGTTTTCGAGCTCCAAATCCCGTTATGTCCCACCTCGTTTAAAATTAAGGGTCCCTCAGGGTGAGAGGTGGTCCCAGTGCTGAGATAATGAGTACCAATATAATATATTTTGGCCTTTCCTTATATTGCTTACTAAAGATCGTAAAAAGAGGCCTACGTGGGTACCTAATTTAATCAAGCAGCTTGCTTTACAAGCTGCATTACGATAGTAGAGTGCAAATTAGGCAGTGAAATTACAGGATAACAGACATGCTATCTTAGTTCCTTGGAATGGCAATTCTTGAGTATAGCATAATAACATGAAATCCGTGGTACTATTTATAGGTGGCAACTACCACTTGCCATAAATCCCCACCGATCGATCCCGCGTCCAATTCCAAAGGAGATCAAAATTACGACAGCCTGAGCCGAGGTTCGAACCCTTATCTTAGGGTACATGAGACTAAAGTTGTATCCGTCAGGCGAGAGTTGGCATTTAGCAGCTCTATAAGTCCTTCCGCGGGTTTGAAGTCCCATCTGCACTCGCCCCCTATCGACCGGTCAAGCTGTAAGGCCTGCTGCGGCCAACAGCTTTTGAGTAGTGGGCCGACAGCTCGTTTTCCAATTTCAGAAAGATATATCAACAGCAGTGGCATTCCATAAAGTCGTGAGGCATGACACCTTAGTCCTTACTAATGATGACGCATCAGGAGTTTCACAAATACGTCATGACGATCATGACCACGGTTAGCACTTTCCATTAGGTAAGTCATCAGTTTTTTACCATTTCATTTACATTAAAAAATAAAGATCATGTTTACATAATGTAGTGTTTACAAGAAAAACCTAAGTAGCGTATTATCGTATACTTTGCATAATATTCAACTTGTGATATAATTCTCGGTGAATGTGTACATTTATGTCTTAACATTAACATCATCATCATCATCATCATCATCATTTGAAGCATTTCATTGTGTACTCCTGAAAAAGGTGTTCCAAACGTAATAGAGCAACGACGTGATATAATGACGTAATTTTATTGTCTATTTCTAGCTATATTCACACAGAAATTGAATGAAATGAAATGAAATGAAAAACACTTTATTGTTCCTCTCACAGAAAGAGTAATTACATAAATTAATATGTACATTAAATATGAAAATAATAACAAAATAATTATAATATAGAGGTAACAATGGGCGGCCTTATCGCTAAATAGCGATTTCTTCCAGGCAACCTTAGGATGGAGAGGAGTGATTAGACTGTGTCTGGTCGAGGTATAACAATTCGTTGTTGGATGTACAATTTACATATCATATACACATACATATAACTACATAATAATCATTATATATAAAATATACATACACACATATATATACATACATATATACATATAAATAAATTAAATAATATCTATACAATAGCGACGTTACTATGCAGATAAGTTTCGTGAATAATATTTTTTAACGCTCGATTTAAAAGCAGGCAGTGATGTCAATTTACGTATGGGAAGTGGCAGATCGTTCCATAGTCGGACAGCAAGTACCGTGAAGGACATGTCGTAAAAAGCAGTATGATGTACTGGTGTCTTTAACTGGAGATTCTCCGATGACCTAAGATTGGCGTTATTAGAGCTATGAAGGAAAACAAACCGCTCCTTCAGATAGTTAGGAGTTGAAGGGTTATAAAGGATATTATGGAGAAGGGAAAGAATGTGAGTATTCCGGCGAAAGCGAATAGGAAGCCACTTGAGTTTAGTGCGAAACTCGGAAACATGATCAAATTTTCGAAGACCGAAAATAAATCTTATAAGAGTATTTTGAAGTCGCTCAAGCTTATTAAGTTGGTCTTCTGTAAGATTAGAGTAACATGTATCGGCGTAATCAAGTATGGGATGAAGAAGAGATTGAGATAGCGTAATTTTGGTAGCAATGGGCAGGAAATTGCGCAACCTCCGTAATGACCCCAACGCTGCAAATATTTTCCTGCTAACTGCTTGAATTTGCGGTCTCCAATTAAAAAAGCTGTCAATATGAATGCCCAGGTTTTTGACAGAAGTACTAAAGGGAATTACTTCGTCATTCACTTTAATTTCAGCGATAGTCGACCAGTCGATCCTGTTAATTAGCCTGGAGCTGCCTACTATAATGACTTGAGTTTTTGTAGCATTAATTGTTAATCCAAAAGCTTTACTCCAGTTTGTAATGTATGTCAAATCACTATTAACTACGGAAATAGCGTCATTGAAGTTTTCTAGTGGAGCCTGATAATAAATTTGTAAGTCGTCTGCATATAGATGGTAGGAAGAAGTTAGTAAGTTAGAAATTGAGTTTATAAAAACTGTGAAAAGTAATGGAGATAAAACGCCACCTTGTGGAACACCGGCAAACGTATCACACCATGATGAAAATGTATCATCAATGCGGATTTGCTGCCGACGCCCAGACAAATAATTGTGAAACCATTCAACTACAGGTGGAGATATGTTAAGAGAGCGTAGCAATTCCTCGAGGATATCAAAATCTACGGTATTAAAGGCGTTACTAAAGTCAAGGAGTGTAAGGATAGTTAACTGACTTTTTTCCATACCTAGTCTGATATCGTCAGTGATTTTAACGAGAGCAGTTGTTGTACTGTGACCAGGTCGGAAACCAGACTGAAGAGGATTTATTAGGTTGTTTTTGTTAAGGAACGAGGTGAATTGGTTGTGAATCAAACGTTCAAGGACTTTGGAAAGGAAAGGTAGAATACAGATGGGACGGAAATCAGAATGAGATGCGGGATTGGCCTTTTTTGGAAGAGGGATTATTTGCGCTTCTTTCCAGATTTTAGGATAAACACTAGTTATTACGGAGTGATTAAGGATGTGGCAAATAATTGATAGGATCTGATCGAGGATAGGAAGAATCATATTGCGACTGATACAGTCAACACCAAC